AAAAGTTCTTAAATTTAAGGCGAATTGACCTTAATTATCACTTTTAGACAATTTGAATCGGTTGAATAAATCAACCTAGAATATTATAGCTCTATATGTGAATAAGTGTTCTTTAATATTCATTCAATCTCTCAAGACTACTAAATCTTAGAAGCATATCAAAGTGGTGTAGGGCGATCGACCCGTCCGTCTTTTGTCCTGGAAATGAGATAACGAGATAAGCTCGTATTGTTGTCTCGACATTTTTACGCGTCTATCCGATATTTATACCCTATACAACTATGTTGTCAGGGTATTATAGCTTTGTACATCCCCAAGAGTTTGTAACGCCGCGAAATATTGGTCCTAGACCTTTAAATGTCCGTTCATCTGTCCATTATAATTTGTAAACACGATACAGGCCACAGTTATGGACCAATCTTCACGAAATGTAACATGTAGGATGAGTTCTGGCCAATAAATACCACTATTGTTTTTGGTAAAGATGGGTTAATATTTAGGGTATAAAATGGACCAAATACTTTATTTGTGTCCGATTTTCGGGTCGCTCCACAGACCGCAATTATAGCCCGAACATCGCGAGAATTGGATCAGGCTAAAGAATAAGCATGTTTGCTTTGATAAAGATTGGTCAATATTTAGCGGGTGAAATTGATCCTGACTTTTGTGTGAAATATTACAAAATTTGTATTCTATGGCGTATATATTTACCCTTGATGGACATAGACCCAAAGCTCCGAATATAGAACCACAGAAAGTTACATTTTCGTGGAAGTTTTGTAGGGTATCATGTGGTCGGCCCCGCTATACTGTTCCGCTTTAAACCTTTTGGTGAATAAATATAGTATCACTCAGATTCGGTATTTCGGGGAAATCTCCTTAGCATATATACATATTGGCTCAAAATTCAGTGTAGCCTCTATATAGCGTTACACTTCTACTAGGTGTTTTAGGCACGATTTTTTAACGAATTGCCTCTAAGTTGGTATTTTGAGTTCCAATTGGGTGGGAAATCTTCTTCGCACTGAACATTTTAAATATCGGTAAATATTTGGATATAGCGCTATATAAAGGACCAGCATTACTCTCTTCCTCTGTCGAAGTGATAGTTATAGATTTCCCGATGTTTAAATTCACCTCTACCATGTGGACTATAATGTCAGAATAAATAAAAACAAATGCAATTGTGCTGTGTTTTGGCTGTGTTTTTCATTAAAAGGCGAAACAATCAGAAAAAAAGAAGTATTTTTGAAGTACTAAAAACTTGTTAATATTTTATTTTTAAGTTGTGTAATTTTGTTTAAATATAATATCTATGAATTAAAGCTATAATTTAAAATTCAAGACCGGTTGAAATACTATCAAGGAGATTGACCAAGAAATATATTTGGCGAAACCAAGAGGCTGATCAATGCTAAACATGTTTCTGGAGCGGTTTTTTAATACTAATTTTGGTGAGAACCAAAATGTGAAATAATAACCACATATGTAAATGATACTAGTGATGAATATTCTAAATGTTTTCAGATTCGATTACACTTCGCTATAAAATTTAGGATTTAAGGTATGCAAAACCACCTATACCTATAGATGCTACTAATCGAGTAACAATCTGATTTTTTAAACAATATTCTTTGAAATCACTTAAGAGCTGTCGGAGCCTTAAACCTTTCCACAGAAAACAAGTAGAATGGAACAAATAAAGACGGGTACATTTAGGAAAATATCCTGCACGTCGATTTAATTACTCTTGATTTATCTGCAGATCTGTTACTTTAGAAGCGTTTACGATGCTACGTAACAATACCAAATAATCAATAAGCTGGCAAATATCTTTCTTAAGAGGTTTTGATCGATATCCCTAACTGCGAAATTAAACAAGGACTTTTCCTACCAATTGGGGTATCCTTATACTAAAAGCAGTAATGAAAGTAGTAAAGTTTGACTGGGCCGACTATATGATACCCTTCACCATTTTGTGTATATTCTACATATGGCCACTTCCGCAACAAAGTAAACCAAAGTCGAAGAATTTGTTTCTTTAATTGACATTTTTTCTTCTAAATACTATAAATAATACTAATGACTAAAAATGCAGACACAGCCGAAATAAAAACTGCAAAATCAACAATGTCGTGTGAGTTACGTCGCGTGAGTGACCGAGAAAAATCCTTCACAAATAAAGGATATGCCATATTTTGAAATTTTGAAAATGCAATATTAATGCTTGATATCTCTTTACATATATTAAATGTTCAAAATATTCACACAATTCGCAGAGTTTTCCCATTATTAGCAGAGATATCTAAAGTCATGTATATTTGAAGTCGCGTGAGTGACCGCTTTTTTGTGGCTTTTATTTCAAAAGTTAAAAACTAGAGGCTCTCAATTTTTTTACCACTGATAGTACTCCTAAAGTTAAACAAAAAAGTATTAAGGGAGAATTGTGAAAAATTTAATTGTTTTCGATTTATTTAAAATTTGATTTTGCCTCTGAAAGTCGTGACTGCGGAAGTGCCCATATGTATCCTAACAGACGTCGCGTTTTTCTTATATATCTATATCTGAACCGATTTCAGGGAAACTTGCCAGAGACTAATTTATATTACTTCAGTACGTTGTGTCAATAGGTCTAGCTATGAATCTTTCCACGAAGCTTTACAACATCATTCTAGACTTAATTCAGTACCCTATACAAAAATTCGTGCAAATCGAAAGATATATAGGGACTTTGGTGCACCAATTACATAAAATCGGACGAAAATATATATGGGAGCTACATATAAATCTGAACCGATTTTCATGAAACTTAGCAATATATATGGGAGCTATATCTAAATCTGAACCGATTTTCACGAAACTTTGCACACATCATTCTAGACTTAATTCAGTACGCTATGCCAAAATTCGTGCAAATCAAAAGATTTCAAGGACTTTAGTGGACAATTTATCTAAAATCGGGCGAAACTAGATAATCTCTCTTCTAATATTGATGGTAATGAATATACTTCATTGAATAAAATTAAGCATAAAATGTGTCCTTTTACCTATTTAAGGTTTTTTCTCTATACTGTGGTACGGTCTTTGTGCATAAGGAAAAGGAAACGAGATATGTTCATAGTTCCTGTTCAAGTTTTATAGGGTCCGTCAAAAGACGGACTCTATTGAAATTTGTGAAAATTGGTTCAGATTCAGATATAGCCATATATAAATTTGTCCAATTTAAAAATAATGCACCAAGGTCCCAATGTTTGTCCGATTGAGACAAAATTTTGTACAAAATAGAACCTGAAATGAGGTATATAAAGTGTTGTTCAGATTTAGATATAGCTCAAATATATAATTTCCTCTGAAATTTAATGTATCTACCTACGGCGAATTAAAATAACAAAAATGTAATTGACATATAATGTTACCATCAGCTGGCTTGAGACGGTTACCTTATTAATATACCTTGAACAAATGCTATAATTTGTTCTGCTCGTTCACACATTCACAGATCATAAATTTCTTCTCTTAAACAAACGGATTTTAGAATATATATTTTTTAAATGTTTCAAAACATCATATACACAAGCTACAATATGAAAACAGTGTAATTTATAAGTGGCTTTAGACCAGCTTGAATAATTGTACCATGGGTAGGTAGCCAGCATATAACATAAACCCCATAATATTAGATATTTTGGGTACGTTTTTTAATCGAAAAGGCTCTAATTTGGTGTTTTGATCTTTGGATATAGCGTCATATAAAGGTTCAGCGGTTATCTTTCCCGAATATTTTCATTATTTTTATATAGTCCGTACAAACAAAGCTTGTCTTTCCCGTGTTAAGTTCATAACCCGATTCTGTATGTAGTTTGTTATTTCTTTTTGTCCTGTTAGCATTTTACCATGATATATTCCGCATGTAAAAGTCTTAGTCGATTTTAGGTAGTTTGATAATGTTCCAGCTCATGGTGAATGGTTATTTTTATACCCTACACAAATACGATGTCAGGGTATTATATGTGGCTTTGTGTGGCCACAATAGTTTGTCCTATACCGATCGTCATATCTCTAATAGCTACTAGAAATGGACCGAAAACTTTGTTTTATCTTGTTTTCTAGTCGTTCGAGAGACCACTATAAAAGCCAAACATCAAGTATGTATTTACATAACATATTATGTTATATATTATATCATGTTTAAGGGCACAAAGCTACAAACAAAATTAACACTAGAAAGACTGGAATTTTGTATATACCTATATTGACGTAAATCGGTCAAAATGACCTCATCATGAAAGAATTTTTATTGTGTAAAGAAAATTTTTTAAACTTATTTTCTAATATTTTTTACATTATTTACAATCATACAAAACGTTGTTATTATTTGTTTTCGTTTATTATTTATGTTCGACAAAAGAGTAAGTGTTCGACAAGAGAGTAAGAGTTCGACAAAAGAGTAAAATCGACTGGAAATATAAAATTTATTTTTCCCGATTTGTGCGTTCGTTTGTATTTCTATAGTAGCAAACGGTTTTCCATGTTGTTGTACTGATCTGGTCATATAAGAAATTTACTTTATACAATAATAAAAGTAGTTTGATTATTTAATATTTTACAAGAGGTCAAAATGATCGATTTTAGGCAAAATAGGTATAGCACATGCGAATATGGGGAATGAAAGAGCAGCTACCATGATTAATAAACGTAGTTCTATGTGGTACAAAAAGTTACCAAATTTTAAAAAGCTGTGTCATAATATACACAATTGTTTTGTACTTGAAAATGAAAAACGGTCAAAATGACCGCCTTAGGCAATCTAGTGTTAATACCACTTAACCATATAACTTAAACCACTTCCAAAATAAACGACTCAAATGTTGATAATGTATTCCGCAGAATTCCCACCAGATTCCCATTTTAAATAATATTTTAATTATTCGATGTTTAATTTGTTTGTGTAAATCACAGCATGTTTTGTTTCATTTATTATCTATAGAACTTCATCTAATTTAAATATTATATATCTAACTAAATTATAAGGGATTATCAGATTCTTCATTACGCCACTTATTCAATAGCTCTTCCATATTTTTCTTCGGTGGTAATTCCAAATAACTCGGTAATATACCGAATGGTTTCAACTGATATATTAAATAATCCATGACATACATATTATCCGGATGTATGTAATGAAACGATATGGCATAATTGGAGCAACAATTGAGGCCCTGTAGATAGTGAAAACAGAAATGATTATTTTTATGTTTAAAATATCATTAATAATTATTATGATTGTTAAGATATATGTTGATATCTATTATCTTAATATATTAATGTAAATTAAATGAAATGGTAAAATTCAATAAACTTAAAACTGATGCAGGGTTTCATAAAATTTCTAAGTTCAAAATTCAATTAGGAATTATTTGATATATTATATATGCCGACCACTGTATAACGCAATCGACTGTGTCTAGTATTTTTCTTTTACTTACATCTTCGGTTTTGTAAAATATGTAACGCCAATACCAACTAGACTTATCCTTTGGCTTAAGATGACCAGATGGTTGTGTTGGGAAAAATCGTCCGCGTTTCAGATCATCACGGGAATCTCCTGCAACAACGCCTACATTTTGCAAACAACGACCCATTTCACTGTCTTCGGAACCGCCAAAACCTTTGCGACATATCATGCGATTGTTGTGGCCCAACTCAACGAAACGTTTAACTGCAGTTCTACTTAAAACGTATCCTGCACCACCGGACATGTAACCCTAAAACAAAAATAAAATATTATTTGATGATTACAATATCTAGAAATGAAAACTTACCTGTCTAACATGGGGTTTAAATTTACAGCCAAAGTAAACGGGGGCCTCAGAGGACATGGGATACAAAAATAGTCTTAAATTTTCCACAATCACATAACTAGGAAAATAAAAAATTTAATTACCTCATAAATAATTGGAAAACTGTATAAATACTCACGTATCATCATCGGCCTTCAGAAACCAATCGTATTCATCGATATAATTTTCATAGATATACTTAAAGGCCTCGCGAGTTTTCTTCCATAATTGCCCTCGGCCTTCACCCACTCCCGGCAACTTAACAGCACCCAGCTCTTCATCTTCTTCGGAACTCATAAAGATTAGTTTATTGCACCGTGAACCCCATGTGTTCTTAACATGAATTGCCTTCTTTTTATGATTTGCCGGACCCGTTAGGATCCAACATAAAACTTTTACCTCATCATATAATTTATCCGCTATTGTTGTATTGAGTTCATAATATCTAAACTTATTATTTGCTATTTGTTGTGGTACGTTTTCATTATGATTTATTTCATTAAATATTGGATTCGCGTGTTCTTTATATTCTCTCGGACTGCGAGACCATACATCATGTTCTAAATCCTCATCCTCATAACTATCTGTTGTTGAATCGATGGGGGATTCGAATTCTTCTTTTATTTCTTCGCTAGGATTTGGCTGAGTCCATACATCTTGAGTTCTCACCGTATTGCCGATGTTGGGTATTTCATATTTGGATGTATCCGTTACTTGAGAAAAGGTGAATCCAATAGCTATCCCCACCATTAAGGTAACGAACAGTTTAAGATTTGATACACTGCCTTGACTGTACATTTTTAAGTTTGACTGATGATTTATAAGTGCCATTAGAATGTGTCCTCATACTGCAGACAGAAGGATTCTGGAAAGAAAAAGAAAAAAATATTGTATTAAAATTAATGGTTTTGAAACATTTCATCACCTAAATATCATTCGATCATCACCGAAAACTATAGATGTCGTTTTTGACTATAGCCGCAACTTTATGGAAAATGTCAGAGCCATAAACCGACACTTGCCAGTCTATGTCGTTCGGGAGTCAATATATAAGCCAAAGAATGCCCTCATAATTGTGACCTCTAAGGAAAAACCGAGAAAAATAAATTTTTTGGTCCATTTGATCCCGATCATTGGCAAAAACTATAAGTGTCGCCTTTGGCCAAAACCGAAGCTTCATGCAAAATTTCGATTGGTCTATAACTGTGGTCTATACAACAATGAGACTGTAGGACCAATATTTCGCGACGTTACAAACTATTGGGGCCACACACACCCACTTGTAATACAAGAAAGTCGCGTAGAGTATAAATATGGTCTATCTTCCAAACTTAAATAATAATTACTACTAATAACGGATGATACAAATATAGCCGCTCAAAGTCACAGAAAAAATAATTCATACCTTCATTTCTGTATTTTATGAATCCATTTCATAACACTTTAAATCAGGCATGCTTAGCCGTAACAGATCGTCGACGGTCTTTTTTCTCTCTTCGTCATGCCATGTTCTGACGGGCATTCGAACAACGTAGTTAGCTCTCAGAATTACGTACATGAATTAACCCGTTCATACAACACTATTCTTAATTCATGTCATCAGAGTTTATTTTTTCAAACTTTTTTGTTTCTTGTTTTACACCAAAATTGTAACATATTTGCATGAGTCACATATTGATCTAAATAGAAAAAATAATTCTCTTTCTCCTGACTATAGTATGAACCCATATCTATTAACTTTTAATTAATGTTTTCCATTTTTTCTGAAAATATTATTGTTTTCATACATTTTTATATTTTCTCAATTCAAATGTCACATATAACAAATTGGAGATTTTTTTTGGGTGGCCCCACATTTGTTTCTTGTTTTGTACGCTAATTAGAACAAAAGGGAAAGAAATGCATATTGCATTATGTAGACAACTAAATACAATTTGCATAGACAATTTTTTACTTTTCATTCATCATTTTCAATTTGACTGAAAAAGTTTGAAAATTTGATAAATATTTTCAAGCTGTCAAAATTAATTTATTTTCGATAAATACTCTCAATTGTTAGGGATGGGACAAATTTCTTCGTTATTCAGAGAGTGATTCGAATTGAACAACGTACAAAAGTAGGTTTTCGCTCAGAAAATTTTGTATGGGGAACTAAGTAATTACTTCATAATTAAGGGTCGAACAACGAATGAGAGAGCGAACAACGATCGTCTGTACATGGCATCAGTCGATTTTAATGATGAATTCTCAGTTACGCTCACCCACACTTACTCTCAATTTTGTTATGCCCAACACTACTTTAAATACTGGTTTCTTATTAGAGAGAGAAAAGCGAAAAAACAACTTTGGAGATGGCGGGTTTTATATTTGCTATTGATACGTCAAGTAGTTTTGTCTATACAAGGGTTCAAATCTGATAATTGTAGACAAAATGCCTTTTCTGTATTTTGTAAAGTTTCGTCAAAGACAAAATTATTCTACATAGAATTTCACTATTTATTTTTAGAAAACTATCTCTAATTTGGGTATATCATTTTTTTTATCAAATGTCGTACTTTTCCAAATAAATTGGAAACTACTACAACTACCCCATTCTACTGGACGCAATATTTAAGATAGCTCTGAAATAATTCTAAGAAAGTGCTAGTACATCTAGGATGTTGGGCATTTCATATGGGATATATTAGTCCACGTTTTGGTAGAGCCCCATATAAAGGTAATTTCAATATTCGGCATTTTAGGGATGATGGACACATTTAAAAACGGTAAAGTAAGAAATAACCTATAACGACAATTCTATCAATAGATTGTTGCAAACCATAATGTAGACCAAATACAATTTTTTTGTAATTTTAATGGGGGTTTTCCTAAAAACTAAAACTTGCACAACGCGCTCAAGTTACTACAACATAACGTGTGCCGAGTTTTATTGAAATCGGCTCAGATTTAGATATAGCTCCATATATAGTTTCATTTGTTACCAAATACGAACACAAAATAGCAAATTACAGCCAACGAGCTTAAAAACCCTAAAATACCGAAAATTTGGGGGGTACCGAAAAAAGGGGACCAATATTTATAATTTTTAGTGGAGAGATTAGGTACTTAGTAAGAACACACTATACTAAATTTCAGCGAATTCTGTTAAAAACCGCGCTCAAAAACCCGAGGACCGATATAGCCCATCTTCGAATTGTTACGATCTATCTAAATTCGTTTAGTTGCTAGAGTAATTAAAACGGACAGATGGACAAACGGACATGCTTAGATCGTCATAGAATAGATGAGTTTTAAACGGAATTTAAAAATAATATACCCTCCATATTATGGTGGAGGGTATAAGAAGTAAAAAGGTTAAACGTCGAGGTGGACATTCAATATATCTAAATCGAAACTTCCAGCCGAAAACGAAATAAGAAACTATACACTCTCAGGGATAGGACCTTGAACATACCGAACCGAACAACCGAAAATATCAAAACACAGCTACATCGGGTGTAAAATTTGCCCAACATCCCCAAATTTGAAATTAATTTAAAATCGCGAGTTTATAGAGCAACTCTAGTATAAAAATATAGAGAAACCCTATTATCGCCCATGTGACATGTTCCGATAGTTTTTGAATTCCCATACTTTTTTAAATTCCCATGTTGTGCAAAATGGTGTGCTCAATTTCGAGCGAAAGTGCGGCTCGAAAGCATAGCTGTGTTCAATATGTTACGAAATGTGTTCGATAAACAAACATATGTTTCATTGGAATTCGCAATTTGTTTAACAACAAAATTAAGAACAAAATATGTCTGCTGGCTTATTAATTGCCCTGGTTTCTACCAGAAAAAGTCTAATGATACTGGAACGTGTTAAAATAAGCATTTATTGATATTTTGAGAGAAGTTGGTCCTTTCATACACACGGGTACCATTCCCGAAAGCCTGCAGTTAGCAGCACAGATTTCTGGCTGTTGGTGGGTTTCAGAGGGTAGTGGCAAATGATTCAAATATAAGTGTTGATCGCACAACAATGTGTAAAATATTGTGGAGAGTAATAAAAGTCATGGAAGACAAAGTGAGTGCAAGCTGTGGACAGCTGCAGACCAGGATCCAGACATGATGCTTTTATTTGACATATGAGTGCAGCTAGGCAGCATTAACAAAAGAGGAAATGGTATGCAAAATAGTTGGCTTCTAGGAGACAGTGGTTACGCTTTAGAAACATTTTTGATGACGCCCTATAAACAAGTGGGGCATGAATCTTGTCAACATCGATATAATAAAGGGCACACATCTGCAAGAAACTTTATTAAAAGTATTATTGGAAATCTTAAAAGTAGATTTTTTATAGATTCTATTTTTATTTTGATCATATGGTGGTTGAGTTTCCAGATTGATCTCAAAAATGTTACGCACTGTTTTTGATAAAATGAGCCCTTTTTTATTTTCTTTAATTTTACTATAAAAACTAATGTAAATACTTTATTTTTTAAATAAATATTGTAAAAACACGTTAAATATTACTTCAGCGTTCTTTTTTAACTTGTACGTGCTCTCATTTCGTTTTCAATCCACAAGGCTATATGTGCTCGAATTATATTCCCAATATTTTTTTGGGAATTCGGAATGGAGCACACCAAATTTGGGAAAATGTTTCACATTCGAGCAAACTCGAAATGCAGCACATGGGCGTATATAAATATTTAATTGAGTATAGGATGATGTAGATGTCGATATAGTCACCTCATTTCCGCTATTTAAGTCATATGTTTTGGCCCAGCTAAAATCGAGTTATCCTTTTTATTAATAAATTGTACAGCAAAATAACAAAAAATTCTGGGAAAAATTACAATTACAGTTTTAATTGATCCTAAAGAGTTGAAAAAATACCAAGCTGACCTATTTTTTTAACTTTAAATAAAGAGATAACTACATATTTCCACATATTCAATTATTCTGCCAGTTAAATATGAAAACTCTAATCCGCATGTCTTTTTCGGCAATACGTCATATACACGAGGAAACTAAGTAAATTCCAAATTACTTAAAGCTGACAATGTTTAATTAAATTTGGTTTTTATTTTTAACAGAAATCTTTAATCGCGATATCACCAACATTTCGCAAATTAAATTAAAAAATAAGCAACAATTATTGGTAAGTCTGCATTAAAACAGGTCGTGAGGTAATAATAGCTCATCATCATCGTCCAAAAGAGTAAAGCAGTAGGAGAAATTATCTTATGAATCCCAATTCTCGTATTTTCTCTCGTAACGGAATGCTGCCCGAGGATGCAGACGCTTCTGCTGGCTGACCTTTAATGGTACAGCATAAGTCAACATTTCGATTAACAACAAAAATAACAAGAGGGAATTCCATCAACTGGAAACTTATGTAAATAAATTGTAAACCAAAAAATTAATTTCTACTAATCTACGACTTGGTAATACACTACACATTACACAAACTTGACACGAACACTTGCGAATCAATTAATCTTAGTTCTTACATTTTATTATACTCTTGAACAAATAATTTGAATTGTGCTATAAAATAGTTTATACGTATTTACAAAAAAATAATAATGATAGTAAAAATAAATAAATAAAACTTCAATTAAAACAAGCCTAACAGATTTGAGTGTCAAAGTCGAGAAATCGGTAATTTATAAACATACCAACAATCGGCACAGTAGGGTGCATCAACAAAATGTGTGTCATTGATTAAAGCCATTGTGGGTAGCTTTGTTTATATTTTGTTGTTGCTGCCGCCGCAACCGCTGCCGCTTTGGTGGTGTAAGCAGATATAAC